CTGCTTAAAGAAAATGTATTGAGAATGAATTCAAGTCATTCTCATTGATTATCTTTTGACAGTATCGACCAACTACAAGTGACAGATGAACCCCCACTCATTGATGTGAAATGTGTGAAAGTGAGACCAGGATTGTTCACAGTTCTACAATACCAGAAGCAGCTTCAAACATGGAGTCTTTAAGATATCTAAGCAAACAAACTATGAATGAGGAAACAATAGGACATCTTAAATACTGCAACTAACATTTGACATGTGAGTATCCTAAATTTTATGATAATATTCAGACTTGTTTAATCCATTTAATTCTGCTGAAATATTTATTATAATAAGGAAGAACTGTTTCTTTCTTCCTGAGTGAATATGTTTTATTTTCTGTTGCGTCTTTCAATCGGATATGGTTTAATTTTGATTTATTGATGTTGCTGTGTTGATAACAATCTTTGCTGTTTGTGTTGTATTCACCCATGGTTTAGTGGAATGGAAAATTTCTGGTTATTTGGAGGGATACATTTTTTCTTCATGAAAGTTCTGTGGTATCAGACTCTGCAACTTTGTAGCTTTCCCACTTTTTTGTGCACTGCAGGCAGCAAGGCCATGATTTATATCACACAGTTAAGTCTCAGTGTGTTAGTGGAATTCTCATCTTTCTGAGCAGGAAGAAGTGAGGTTAGAGAGCACATGTACTCTGCTTATCATTGTCAGATTTACTACTGGAAGTACATTGTTGTTTTCACAGCTTCTCACTTGTCACTGTGAAAATGAAAATTTGCATTCACTCTAAAATAAGTGTATGCCATTTTCCAGGATAGCCCAGTCAGTAAAGTGACTAGCTATGGGCTGGACAAATGGGGTTCGGTCCCTGATGGAGGCAGAGGATTTTTCCTCTAGCCTCTGTGTCCTGACTGGCTCCGGGGCCCACCCAGCCTCCTCTACAATGGGTACCGGGGGTAAAGCTGGGGCGTGATGCCAACCTCTCACCCCCATCTAGGGCTGAGGTCATTAATGAGTAGGAGTTATACCTCCACTCCCCACAAATGACCTACATGGCGTGTAGCGGAACGGCTTTACTTTTACCTTTTTTTATAACTGTATGTCGTTCGAGAAAATTACAGCACGAATACTGGGTCTGGAAAACCTTATCCCACTTTTACCCCAGAATGCAAAGTTTCTGCGATATAGATTTATATTTTACAATACTTTGAAAATAATAAATTTGTTTTTTGAAGAAGTATTTGATATTCAGACTTGGTGTTTGTTTCAAACTGTTATATGATGACTGATATATGACACGATGTACAAAAATCGGGTTAGCACTGTTCAGGGCTGATACTTGGAAGAATTTTATAAAAATACATGCCCATAGTGTAGAGGGAAAGAAGTTTTGAGAGGAAACATCTTTCTTAAGTAGAAATCACTTGGTATTAATGAAGAGGTAGCTTAGAAGAGAAAGATGCCTTAGGCATATTGGCAAATATTATATAAAAAAGTAAAAGATGTCTGTCCTGTTACACACCATATAGGCACTTGAGGGGAGGGATTTACATTGTTAACCTTGGCCCTAGATGGTGGGGTGAATAGTCTTCGTCATGCCCTGGTCAGACTTTAACCCTGGGGAAAAGACCACAGTACCCACTGGATAAGAAGCGGTGGGTCTGGACACAGGGGCTAGAAGAAGAACACTTTGCCCCTGTCAGAGATTAAACCCCGTTTGACCAGTCTGTAGTCAGTCACCATACTGATGGAGCTACCCCAGCTCTCTGTATTTTATAAAGCTAGATGTAAATGAACGAATAAAATTAGCAGCATTAGAGGTAGTTTTATTAGGCTATGGTCTGCAAATTGCTAGTAAATCCTGGCAGTGTTAATCCATTTAATCATCTTGTCATCATATGGTTGCACAAATACTGGTCTCCAGGGTGTTAACCAACTAGGTTTTCATTTAATTACCACACCCTCGTATATTAGTATGTCGTGGTGTATCGACAAAAATGTTGAGTGTTCCTGCTGCAGGAAATGCTGTGTTAGGAGTCGGCCAACGCATGAATACATAAATACATCATTACATTCTGCCAGAAATGTAGATGAAACGCGCTATGTTCTAACAGAATATTCGGTTCTTGCATTCGGTTTCTTGCCTCATACAGACGAACAGATTAACTGGCAATACATTTAACTGTAGACGGAAATGTTAATAGAATCAGTATAACGGCTTGCTTTGTTATGTCATGAACCTGCCTTCCACCTCCAGAAAGCGCTGCTGTAATTTCCCCAACCAGCCGTATATTATAGCCTTATCTCGAACAAAGGCACGAAGAATTTGCTGACTGGGGCACAGACTCATGGGAACAAGGTACTTTTTACGTCAGAGTTCATTATAATGTCTCCGCATTTAGTAGGGGCCATAAAAGGCGTGTGAAAAACAAACAAAGTACGAAATTTATGTGGAGATAAAATGACTACGTCACGTCTAGTTTGCAAACGCCTTCATTTCGACGATTTACATGAAACGGCCAGAGAAAGGGACGAAGCTATATCCGTCCTTAGAGCCACACTGTGTGGATGTAGGCAAAAGCTTAAAGTTTCCTAATTTCAAAGAATGTGTTATCAGCCGTGGAAAGTAGAGGTTATTCAAACACTTGGCACCATGCCGTGAAGGCGTGGAGGTAATGTTTCGTGTTTTCTTACGATGTGCTTCAAATTGTGTCTGTTTTATCCCCACTGCCATTGTGACCCTCTTGATGAACAGAAAAAGTCCTGGGTGAGGTTTCAAGTTCTCATGGCGACGAGTATGACGATTTCTGCCTTCTGGGTTGTTGGTCCGCGTCGTAACGAACTATGAGGGAAAATTACGAAGTAACTTAAGGGAGTCATGACCAATAAGGGGATCGGGGATTACAGTACGTTGAGAGCGTCCTCACGAAATGAAAAATGCTGTAGAAACAAGATTAAGTTTTTGTGTCACAAAGTCGTAGTTTATTTCTTCAACGAGTCTGAATACATACGTAGCAGAATTGTATTTAGTAATTTATTTACCGACGCGTTATAAACTGCATCTGTTAGGCACTGTCGTAAAAATTGTACTGTGCGTAAGTACCATTTGTGTGTGTGCGTGCGTGTGTACATTTTCCCCGTCATTATGTAAGTCTCAAGAGGGTTTCGACTTTGTGGGTTTTTTCTCGCAATATATAAATTTGTTAGGACTTTCAGATACGTATATCATTTTTTCCGAAAAAAGTCTTTGAAGTATATTGATGAACTTCGGTGTAGTACAGAAACAAAAAAATAAATAATAGTTTTGCGTTTAGTCAATGAACTATTTATTTATTAATCTGTAAGTTATTTAGTGATGTTGCTTGCTGTCGATTAATAGGGGATAATTAACGTACGTGTGATGGACTGAAATTAGGGGGTTGCAAATATGGCTACGTACTTCTTTTGTTTGTCTTTTTAACGACGCTGTCAATAGCTGAGACTATTGCATTGAATGACGGGATGATTAATGAATAACTACTTGGAAAAGATACTGTCTAAGATCTCGCCCAGTAAGAAACTCCACATTTGACGATCCGTTGTAGCCTGACACCTCTCTGAGATATGTCGGTACGTAGTGTATTAAAGTCATCCGGTATCATTTTTTCCCCAGCCAGATCTACAAAGGTCGGGCTTTTAAGGTCAGAAAAATGTTTTAGGTTAGAGCAACTTTTAAACTTCAGTGTAACAGGAAAGATTTCAACTGGGTGTTGAAAAAACCGAAGAATGCAGTCTTCCGGAATGTTGGATCGTGTAGTCAGGTGTAAATTTACCGACGTTTCAGAGGAGCTTGACGCCTCCATCGATGGAAGCAACAAGTAGCTATGAAACGTCGGTAAACTTCTCTCTTGCAAAACGGCGCATCATCCCAGAGGAGAACCATCTTTGTCGCCGAAGTGAGAACCAGAAATCTCTCGTTGACGAATACGGTGCGATAGTTGCCAATAAAAAAGTGGAAATTCAAACGAGCGAAGCAGCAGTTGCGAAACTACTTATTTTAAAACCATTTTAATTTGCATCTAACCATACAGAAACCTAGTTCCAGGCGAGATGTCCGGTATTTAACATAATACATATGTTCACCTGAAATATTGTACTGATTTAATATTATCGCGTGTACACGATTTCGCTGTACTTATTTACATTGTAACCAAGCTGGCGTTTACTCTGTGTTGTATATAATCGTTTAAATTATATATGTATATAATAGTTTAAGATCACCATATGCATAAGAAATAAACGAGAAATCTTATCTCTATTCTTATGTGTGCTTAAGACACGAATCGGTGCCAAGCAATGTGTGATGTAATAATTCATTGAGATTTAAGGAAACATAGTATCCTACGACGCTTTAAAACAAACAAGTAATAAATAGTTTTCACAGAGGAACATGGTCCAAGGTTCTGCGCTGTACAAGGGATTTTCATTCTAGTTGTAACAGACGACTTCAAAGAAGTCTATTTGGAAGAAGTATTTGGCGAGATTTCAGGTTCTGACGGAGGCAAGTATGTAGATGACTGTTCTGGTGTATCACGCCTTGTAGTCTGGTTGAAATTTACCCTGATGATGGATTCTAAAATGTCAATAAATATCTACCGAACTACACGATGTAACACCCCCGAAGATAGTTACCTTCAAGAAATATTTATCTGTCGGTCCTGACTGCGGTAGAAATTATTGGAAAATGCCGTTATAAAACATATCGGCAATACCAGTTTATTTATTTTGAATTTTATCCGTCGTCAGATTTTAAAATTATTTCAGAAGTTGCATACGTGGATCGTCTTTCGCCGTCATTTACGAAAGGACGACATCTTTTCTATTGGGTCCGGGCCCAGAGGATGTCATTTATATATGATAGACGTTGAACCTCGTGTTAAAATTACATAGGGTTACTTAGAAGAATAAATTAGTATACTCTTACCCCTGCAGGTTAGAATAAAAATGTAGATCTAATGTGGGCATTCACAAAATTTATAATGCTTAAACTGTATCAGTCTAAAGTATTTGGAAATTTTCAAATCGGCGCTGTTCCAGACATTTTATTTGTCGAAAATTACCCACGATTTTCGTCGAATTAAATTTTCACAGAGGTAGTTCTGTAATTTTCTCGTGATGATAAAATGCAAGTACAGGCAGGAGAAAGGACATGATTCCTCCCCTACGAAGGCGGATTTTGGTTACCAACTCATATTTTTAAATTTTAATACATGAATGTAAGA